GCTGGCACCAGGTGCATGGACGGGCCGGCCCACACCGGCTGGCAGCAGGTGCAAGGACGGGCGGCCGGCACTGGCACAGTGACCGACCCACCGACATGGCAGCTCAGCCTGGCGGTTATTTAAGTGCCAGTGGGAGACTGTCCTCTACAGGCGCAGTCTCCGGGAAGCGGGAGGAGGAAAGCCTCTGTGATGCCAGCGCGGGAGCCCGACGCACTCGCCTTGTGGACGCGGCACTTCTCAGGAGTCACCTGCCTGCAGGCGCACGGTGTTCGCACACTTTCTGTGCTTGTGCAAAGGACTTCAGAGCTGCTCGTCCGGGGCCTCCGGGGGCCCAGGGGTCACAGCGCAGCACTATGGAGCTGATCGGGGCCCCTGCACGGCCAGTCCCATCCCCCGCCAGGGAGGGGCCCCGGGGCGCGGCAGACCCCTCCTGTCTCCCCGCTGCCCCCTCAGCAGCGGGTTTCAGTGGCTCCTGCCTGTCTGCTCCCCACTCTGTCTCTGGGCAGTCCTCTTTCCCCATACCCCTGGCCTGCACCCCAGGTCTTGCATACATACATAAATAAAATAAATATTTAAAACACACACACAAAATAATTTTGTCTATTGTGAATATTGAAACAAAAACTGAATCGGCGGGTTCAGTGTCCTCGGTTGACTGTGTACTTCTGTTACTATGGTGACTGTGGACCTGGGAGGACTGACCCCCATTTTCTCCTTTCTGGCTTGTGGGGGGGTGATTCTGGAGGAGGATGGGGTGTTGAGACAGAGTTACTGACTTGCAGCTTCCTGTTGTCATAATTAGCTTAAAAGTAGAGATTTAGGAATAACAAAATTACAACAGAAACTATCTCCAAGCTCACTGGGTTTTAGAAGTTCTAGTGATCGCCAATGAATTTTATAGAGTAGTAAAATCAGTATCTTTATAATTTCCTCACTGAGTCACTGATAATATAGATGATGCTTTAAAAATTATTTATGCACACAAGAACTGGGGTGCAGGCCTGAGGAATCCTCTGGGGAAGAGTGGGGAGCAGAACAGGCAATCTACTGAAACACACTGCTGCAGCCTGACCTCCGGGTCTGCTCTCACCATCGCAGGCCACTGAGAATGCCAGTGGCCTGCCACAGAACAGCGCATGACGCTACCACGGTTCACGAACAGGATCTGGGTTCCAGAGACGCACACGGAACCA